GCGCGAAATCATCATTCTCTGAAGAAGACCGCAGAAGGCGGTCGAAAATTTAGAGACAATTTTACTTTTTTAGATCTGTTTTAAACGTTTTTTAAAGAAATACATTACAATGTTAACAAAATTGTAAGAATTTCGAAGCCATGTTTGTTTTTTTGTAATCCTTGTTCGCGCGCTTGGTAAGATGATAGCACAGTTCATTTGCACTCTTTGCATTTGTCAAGCAGGTTTTCCAACTTCCAGAGAAGAAGGGACGCAAAGGAAACGAAAGGTAAGCACAGATCCTACAGGCAGATTGTGCCTGTTGTAGCTTCAAAATACAGTTTTTCTTGTTGCTTTGTGGTATTTAAGTGAAATGACTCTTTTATTACGTTAATAAAAGTAAGATTTTTTTTTCCTTTTGTTGGCTGAAAGACTTCGGTGATAAAATTCCGTTTACATTTCATTGTATTTTGCTGCGGATTGGTTTGAAGATAAAGGCTTCTTTTGGTCAATTAAATTACGGTGGTTTTTTGACACCTTTCAATCGAAGCCGTGAGATGTGCAAAACTACATTTACATATTCTAACTGTAAGACTTTGAAAATCAAATTCGTTGGATTCTAGTAGATCCGAATGTCTCTTCCACCTGTTGAAAATAAATAGGGTGTCAATTGACATCACTTTGCTGTTGTTTTTGAAGGTCGAGGCTCCAGACGAAGATTACCAGAGTAACAAGAGACAGAAGACACTAAATGACGTTTTAAATGAAGGAAGAAATAACTCCTCTTACCACCCTACCATGGGGCACGTTGTCGCTATTTGTCACGCAAGAATACCTTTCATTCAGATCCGCGAAGAGGTAAATACGCAATGATGTAAGGCGCTCTGATACGATGTCATCTTTCACGAAACCTGTCCTACAACGTTAAAACAAAACCTGAGCAAGTTGTTGCAACGGTTTTAGAAAGAACAAATTACCGCTAGAATTCCGTGAGTGTTTTTTTTAATTGACTATCCCCGCCTCTTTCCTCCATTTTCGTCCAACTTGGTAATAAAAAGAAAACAAGCGGTTCCGATGGGAAAGTGCGAAGTTATCAAGATTCAGTTAACTGCAGCAATAAGGCTAATATTAACAAATAGGTGAACAATGAGAAGACCATATTCATAAGAGTAGTGAAATTTGATGCACGCGTTTTCAATAAGAAACTTCGCTTACTTGAAGTACTGCGCTCAATATTCTTTCGGACTTCGCACGAAAGAGGTCGTTAAATCTTTTGTTTGGTTGTTTGTTAGCTGAGTCGACACAGGATCATCTACCAAGATCTCACTTCAGAGGCTGGAGTGGGCCTTGCCGTTAGACTGTCCAACCTACCCCTTCCGAAGGACTGTGACCCTGCCTTAGTGTCCTCCCTTCAGCCAAGCGTCCTCGACTGTGTGTTGCGACTCCCTGATGAGTCACAACGCACCTGTCTACTGGAAATGATCATGGATAACTGCCCACTGGAGGGAGTGTCCGCCAAAGAGAAGGGCCCCACCCGGCATGTGTTCTTTGAGTATAGGATTCAGGAGGGGGAGAGGACCAGTGTTGTTGGCGACAAGGGAGGGGATGGTGAAAGTGACTGGGCGGAATCGGTGGTGACGAAAATGTTGAATGACTGGTGTAGCGTGTGCAAGCTCTATCGGCATGCTGTGGAACTAGATGCTTATCTCAAAGGTAAGTCGCCATTAGCTTATTCTTTTCACTTGGATCCTCGTCCGCTCGTTCGCTCGTTCGTACCTTGTTAGTTTCCTCGTTTGCTTGTTCGCTCGTTCGCTTCTTCGTTTTAGTTCGCTCGTTCGTTCGCTCGTTTCATATGTTTATGTGCAATACAGTGAGTCAGTTTGTGAATAATACATGAATGACTTATTTTCTTTGTTGTGTCTCTATCAGACACACAAAGCCATTTTCGTCACATGTGTCGTGTTTATTCTTACAACTACAAACAGCTGACACTGCAGTACGACCCCGATAAACAAAGCTTGGTAAGTAATGCGTGCTGAAATGATAATACTCTGAAAACTTCTCTTAGTCCCTTACAGTACATGCAATGCTAGCTTAATTCGAGAAAGGAAGTCAACTGTTAAAATCTGGGTAAAATATTTAATTGGTTGTTGATCGGTTTTGAATTTTTCTGCTCTGGTTTGAACTAGTCAGAGATACAGTGTCGTTCCCAGGCTCCTGAAGAGACACTGCATGAATCTTTGTTCAGTTTCGTCGGTACCACTGAACTCTTCTGTTGGGAATTGCAGACATTTGACGAAGAGAGGAAGGATTGAGCGCGAGAATGACACATAACTTTATGTTCACCATTCTTCAAACTGTAGAAGCGGCACAGTCGACACTAAAGGGGCAGATCTGAGTGTCCTTATTACAAAGGAGGCCGTACTACAGTCAGACCTCACCTTACGGACACTGCCGCAATACATACATCTCTATAGCGAAACCAGGAATCATAAAATCTCTTCCTCTGTAATAGGTCACCTCTATAATAAGAACACTGAGGTCTGCCTCTTTAGTTTCCGTATTAAAGACGCTCGACTGTAAAAAAGAAGAAATTACTGCAAAGCTCAGTGTTTCTTAAGCAAGGATTTGTTCCCACAACTTGTGGCTGCCATATAATGTGGCATTATGCGTAGACGCTGTGACATCTCGTATAAACGTTTGAGGGGCTTATTTCATTCCGCCTTGGAGAGACGTCAGGCCCGGCGTTTAATGGAGAAAATAAGGTATTTCCAAAGTAGATTGTCATTTCTAACCCATGCGTTAATTTTTCGTTTTACTTTAAAGGTTACTTTTGAATGGTCTGTGGAGCAGTCGCAGTTCGTTTTAACATTTGGTTATTGTGGCTCGAATCTGAGTGCAAATCCTCAGTGCCTCACGTCCAGACTTCTTCAACAAGAGTTTAACAATCACCAGAATCTTCCATACACTGTACAGGTACTGCCACAGTTTCAACTGATCTTTCAGAAGCTGTCTCGATTCACTTTATAATAATAGTAACAAGCGCTAGTCTTAAGCTTGTGTTTATTCAACGGACTGTTTTATAGTGGGCTACAAGCAGAAACATGCACATCCAAAGCGAAACTGCCTGGTTTTTATTTAGAAGGAATTTTGCGCACAAGATAACTGCATAATGCCTTCTCATTAAAAATACGCCAAACTTAACGATTTTTTTTTTGTAAAAAATCAAAAACAACAACAAACAAACAAAGCAAAACAAAACAAACAAACGAAAGAAAGAAAGAAAGCAACCATCAAGCAAACAGAGACACACTCTAAAAAAATGGTATGCGGCCGTCAAATAAATGAAATAATAAAATTTATTTTTCCGGGCGTTGGTCGCTCCCGGATTCACGATCTAGCCCACGACTTTGACCGCTAGCTGCCGTTTACAACACCGTAATCCCTGAGTTAGCCAGCTGGTTAACCATCTGGTAAGCCTAAAAGCCAGCTGGAATTATACTTTTTGGGTGGACGCTATGTTAGCGAAGGTAATCAACTTGAAAGGTTTTATTTTGTTTCGTGTTTTGTTTTTCTTCTCCAGATCCTCCACGAAACGTTCCGACCTCTGTCTGCCATAGCAAAGCTCAGTACTAAACCCATCCTTGGCATTCATGTCCACGTAAGTACAAGAAGAATAATGACGACTAAATGTGGTACAGAGATGCTCAAAGATTTGTAATGTCTGTGTTGGAACCCAGTCCCACATCAGTCTAGCGCTTTTCTCCGTCTGCTGTAGCATGAAGCAACGGGCAGTATTTCTACTCCCCCGGATGGTATGCTAGTCCATCGCAGGGTTACCATCAGCATAACTGAAATTCGCCACTATCCATTGTACACCTGGGTGGAGAGAGGCACTGTGAGATTTAAGTATCTTGCCCAAGAAAACAACTCAATGTCCCCAACCGGGGCTTGAACTTCGACTGCTCGATCCGGAGTTAAGCGCGCTACTGTTAGGCCATCGCGCTCTCACTGATGTTAAAAATTGTTTGATTTTATAGAACAGCACTTGTCGTATGATACATCGTAGGCTGGTTGGGCGTTTAACAATGGCAAGGATTAAGCGGGTTACAATACGGACGACATGAAAACGCGAGGGTTACTTTTTTAAGCTTGGCTAAGCTCCCTTTTAATCTTACCAACGGGATCAAATTGCAAATTTGACCAATTGTGGGTTTTATTTTATTTATTTTGTTTTTTTCTGCTCACCAGAAACCTCTCATTGCTTTACGGAAGCTTGCTATTGCACCTCAATCTTCAACAGTTGTGCTGCTCATTTACAGACACTGGTATCCTTTAACGTTTTTTTTTATTATTTTTGTATTTCGTGCAAGATGGATGACGTTCAATAGTTTTTCTCATTATTTTTTATAATTCTTTTTTTCTCACAATATGCATTTTTTTATTGACCGTAACAGCAAAGTAAGTCTGTTCTTATCCAATTGATTGTAGGAGCCAAAAAGCTCAGTGGCACCGGCGCCTGTAGCATAAATTGACTACGAGTGTTGAGACTACCCCTGGATGGTATGCTTCCCCCCACTCCCTCAGTTCTCGCTTTTATTTCTTTTTGTTGTTGTTTTGTTTGTTATTGATGTTGCCCCAACAAATTCACCGGTATCAATAGTACTGTTCAGGGGTTTTAAAGCGAGAAGTATACGTGTGCAAGTTTTATTTACTCTCATGTAACATGTTCACTGTTTCCTTTGAACGCCTTAGTTTTCTCTTCCTTTCAAAAAAACTTGCCATGTCTCTGTAGTGTTAAGGTTCATTTAGGTCCCTTTGTTGGTAGTTTCCCTTCCTTAACATGTTCCCCAAAGTAATGCACTAGAAGTTCGCTTCCGAGCGAAGAATCTTGTCGCTATAAGAGGTGAGTTAAGTCTTACGTAAATTTCTCTTGTATAGGCACGGTTAAATTTGGTCAATGCAATCTTTCACCCAATATCTGAACTTTGCTATTCATAAATTGCTCAGAATTCAAGTTTTAGGAAAATTATTTGCCATTGGATTCCCATACAAACACTGTTCCCCTACAGACACCTGTTGCCTCCCCATTAAGAGGGCTTCCAAATCCGTGATAAGTTTCATTTTTATTGTACAACACATTCATAGATGTTTAACGCTGGTAGAGTCGATGGACCACTTTGCGGTTATTCTGTGCATATTATTAGCAATCTGTTATAACGACCGCGGACATTTCACAGTTCTTGTAATTTGATTGGCCAGTTTTCAAACGAAAGCCATCAAAAAGTTGCGTCGTTAGACCCGGAGCCATATACGGTTGGTGGCTTTCATAACTTTGTACCCTTCGCTTACTAACTGTTCACTCGACTTGTCTTGTATTACCAGATGCTTCATACAGCATTGTGGACCCCAGCAAGAGTAGAACTGGGTTTTCCTCAATTCAAAACCTGAAGGTGCGTATATGTGAATCTATGTTTACAATATTTGCCTCATTAGCATGAGCGATTCACGTTCTGATCAAACTACAAAAAATATCAGTTCTGATTATTGACATGACACAGCACAAGTAACTGTCCCAATTTGAGCCCGATGTATTGAATTATTTTTGTGCAACGCGGTTTTAAAAATTTTACAAAGAATGTATGACTTCATTTAGCGCTTTTGCCACCCAAAAATTGTGCAGGTTATGAAAACCCTTTTCTCCTTGAATATTACAACCAAAGAGCCAAACATTTCACCATTTACTAAGTTTCACAAGCTCTTGAAATGTTTGGAATCACGATGCCTTCTCTGCGCAAAGTCGTATGTTAATGAGGAAAAATTAAAAAAAAAATGGCATCAGCAAAGCCCTATAAAAAAAAAAACCAACATAAAAATTCCTTCGCCTGCTACTGTTATTGCTGTAATTCCTTCTTTTCTTCACTTAGCATTTATGCCGGTTCCTAAATAATAGAGTATCACTCCAACTCCTCGTTTATAAGCGAGATTTGACTGATATTTTGCACAAAAATTTCTGATTGCCTCCATTGAAGGCCTTTCTGCAACTTTACGTGGACGAAGTCGCCAAAGTCGGTGGAATAACTTCCCGACATGCCTCCACTGCGGACGACGAAGCACCTCCCTCACCTATCACCATGGAAACGGACACACCTGTCATTGATACGCAGTTTACGTCACCGCAGCCGATGCCCAGCGGAGCTAATCTCACTGTGTCACCGATAATCCCACGCACCTCGCCCCAAGCTCCTTCGCCGTTTTCTGCCTCGCCGAATGTGAACAGTCCGGGAGCTATCTACGGTGTTGGGTCTCCAGGTGAGTGTACCAGCCGAGTTTGTTAGTCAGGTTGTGGTTTGGTCAGGGGAAAAAATTCTTCAAGGTCAGGGAAAAGTCAGGGGATTTTATTTTAAGTCAGGGAAAATTGAAAAAAAATTAACGCGGGTGAATTAATGTCACTGAAAGCTGTAAGAAACATTTGGGGTGACTGTGATCTCAACGATGTTTTTCCTTAAAGAAGAAGAAAAATTGTGGAAAACGTATTGGTGTTAATAAATTGGGTGGAAAGCATGGCTGTAAGGGGAGGCCAGAACCCGTTACTATACAGGGTATGTGACATTTTGTATTTATTTGGTTAGGGAAATTTTATTTTTATCAGGAAAAAGTTAGGGAAATTTGAAAATTGATGTCTGTGGTAGCCCTGAGTCCAACTTAAACATCCATGGAGGGACCAAACTAGATCTAAAGGTTAAACCAGTGGCGGATCTAGGGAAGGGGGGGGAATAAAGGAAAAAGAGTATTTGTTTTTCTTGGATCAGAGACTCAAAAAATAATACATTTTGAGCATGTAATGGTCCAGCGTGTGGTTTCGCTATTTTTCCAGTTACATTTTAACAAACTATACTCCGGCGAGGGCTAGACTCCGGACAGGGCTCGACTTCGGTGAGGGCTTGATCCTGGTGAGGGCTTAACTCTGGCGAGGGCTCGATCCTGGCAAGGGCTTGACTCTGGCGAGGGCTCGATCCTGGTGAGGGCTCGACCCTGGACAGGGCTCATCGCCGGCAAGGGGTCAACCCCGGCGAGGGGTCGATTCCCGCCGAGGGCTCAATCCCAGCCAGGGCTTGACTCTGGCAAGGGCTCAATTCCTGCAAGGGCTCGACCCTGGACAGGGCTCAACTTCAGCAAGAGCACGATCCCGGCAAGAGCTTGACTCCAGTGAGGGCTCCATCCCGGCCGGGGCTTGACTCCAGCAAGGGCTGAATCCTGGCCAGGGTTTGACTGGTGAGGGCTCGATCCCGGCCACGGCTCGACTCCAGTGAGGGCGCGACCGACGCCGGTAGGGGCCCAAACCTGGCCAGGGCTCAACTCTGGTGAGGGCTCCACCCCAGCCAGGGCTCATTCCCGCTCATCAAGAGCACCGCGTCTACAACAAGGTAAAACATTTATTTCCCCTTAAAATCAGTAGTTATGGCTGCTGCTTAATAATAGTTTATTATCCGTGATATTCTTTCAAATCGGTTCGAAAAGAAGAACCATTTTGGGCTCACCTCGAGCAGTGTCATGGCGACTAGATCTTGATATTGTGGCCTGGTTTTGGCCCACCTTTCCAGTAGCTTTCTGTGCCGTCGATAAAGCGAAAATTGCCCTGCATGAGTGAAAAAAAACCTTGGCATTAATCAATTTCTATCCTTTAACACAAAATTCTTATTATAACCCTTCCAAGGCAACATAACACAGGGGCCTAATGTACCAACGAGCTCCAAAATGTAGCACTGAAATGAATGCATAATGGTTCCAAGCAATCTGTCAGTTGGGCAAAGGTGCTCAGAACCGCGAGAGAAAAACAAACCAAGAATAGAAACATGCTGTCATTATTAAATTCAGGGTGCTCTAGCGATTTCAAACCTGTGTCATAACTTATCACTGGTAGTCAAACAGAAATGTATGGGCATCAAGAGAAATGTGCTCTTGTTATAATGTACTTATTTTGTGAGCACTGTTGTTCCCATCAGAAAAATGGACATGGGTTGGGAATTTCCAGTATTTCGGAAGCTCCGTTGAGGGGATTCCTTTGATTAAATAGTTAAGCCCCAACTTTGGGCATTTGCAACATTTTCCTCACAAAAGAGAAATACCCAAGGGATTGGGATGTGCGAAGTTGGAAGTTGGAGTCATAATGTAGTGTGACATTTTAAGCTGACCTGTAGTAGTCTTCATTAGGCTACATTTTATACTGCGCTCACCATTTTCTGCCAGATCCTCGAAATGCATAATCGTATTCCAAGTAAAGGGGTACTTCATCACTCCTATTTACCAAAGTAGGAAATAATGTAATGAAAAAACATCCGCCTGTGACTAAAGAAACTCAATTCCTTTCTATTTTTTTTGTGACTACCAAACATGGGAGTTCATCAGTGAACCTTACCGCCGTACGTGCCCAGTGTGGGAAAGTGTTCAGCCGGTGACAAGCCCGGGAAAATATATAAATGACAGATGGCAAGCGCGAGAAAATCTCCTCAGGTAAATTGCTGTTGGTTTTTGTCTTTAACCTGAATAGACTATCACTAAGAAGACAACGGCTTCAAGTGAATTGTTTAAGCCTTTGTTTTCAAAATTTGAGAGCTTGCGAAACAGAACAGCAAAGGAAAAAAATAATTGCTTTCCAGACATGAGAGGCATTTCCAGGCATCAGAAAACCGCTATAATGATTATGGTGGTGCTAAGGTCGAGCTGTTTAGACCAGGCCAACCCAAAACAACATGGAGGAAAATGATTAAGAAGAAAAGCACGCAGTTGGGTGTCAGTCATGGGCGACTATCGGAGCTCTAGCAGCAAATCGAAGTGGAAGGAGAATGACAAAGTCTTATGTGCCTTATTAAATGGAGAGATACAGGTATCTGGGGCGGATCTAGGGGAAGGCGGGGCGGGTCTGTGCCTCGAACCCCTTCTCTAAAATCCTGTATCCGCCCCACTGGGCATACGTAAGTAATGCTAATAATTGTAAAACCACTGACCTGTAAGTTTTATTTTAGGAAGAGGATAATCGATATAGAGTACATTCCCATTTTGGTAATATCGAGAAAAGCCTCCTCCCGGGAGATTAGTTTTAATGCTGAAGAGAATTTCATCACACACAACACTATGATCCTCTAGCTCCTTGACTAGCCGTAGGGTTGCATTGTAAATCATAGGAACGTTGACAGGGACCAGGAGAGTAAATAAACGAGCATGCGATGGAAGCTGGTTCCCCATGCTGTCTAGTGAAGAGTTACCAATGACAACGCCTCTGGGAGGATATACATGCAAAATCATCCTGTATACGCCATTATTCTGTTACAAGATCAGAAGTGCAAAAGTGAGATTGCATCAAGACCTTCCGTCATAATTAAGATTTGAAAAGGACATCAGCTGTAGCCTGCAAAAAATTATTCAAATCCCTTCTAGGACTGGTGCAAGGTCTGGAGCCGAAAGTTCATAGCGTCTGGGACGGCGGAGTGAATTCGGAATTCTCCGGCGGGGCATCTGGCCGCACACCAAGCTTAAGGTGACACTTGCTTGGTTTCCCTTGAGCTTTGAGCAATTTCCGAAAATTTCTCGGTTCCAGACTCACCCAATGACTGTACATTTAGAATTTGGAAAGGCCACCAAGAAGGAAGTGTGCGTGGATCTTTTAATTGTCCATGTGAGGAGCCCCTGTGGTGTGCAACCAGAGGCTTATCACACAAGCGTCTGGCACAACAAAATCAGTAAAAACAGGCCATAGGAATCCATAGGGAATTAAGCCAAATGGCCAGTTCCCTCTAAGAGACATACCTGCGCGGAGTCGCGGTAGTTGTAGCCATCATCACAAATACCCAGTCCAAGATGATGAATACAACTACGGCCTGATTCACTGCAGGCAAATCTCATAGAGGGAATTGGCCATTATCAGCGAGCAACGAACTTTCAATTATCAGCAATGTACTAAGCAGAAAAGAGTCTATTTACCACAATAACTTCATCTGGACAAGAAGATGTCATATCACAAAGCCATATCTCCTCGGTACGTATTGAGCAAAGCACGATCAGAAAACCAAAAACAACTTCCGTTTGTGACAAGTCTTCTCTTCTGTACTGTTGCCATGGTGTGGCTATCGTGTTTCCACCGCCAGGTTTATGCTCTGTCTGGTTAATCACGCTCATTGCAACATCCCCCAGCAGGGAATTTGTCTGTCGTTGGTATGTTGCCTAAAAATGTATAACCTGAGTAAGGAAGTCTTCTGACTTAGTTTAACCTTGACTGTAGTTTCTAACGGTGTCCACAGGTCCCTTATTTCACTGTGTCTTTTGATCGGATAGATTTATATATATAAAGAGCTGGAATGAAGACTGAATCGACGTTCAGTCGGACCTCTTTTAAAATACGGACACTAGCGCCAAACGAATTCAAACTGCATGTACTTGCTTGTAATTGTTCGCAAAAATAATTCTTTTCTTTCTGAATAAAACGTGCGAAACAGGAACCAAAGATGTCTGAGAGCGACGTAAAAATAAACATCAACAGATTTGCATATGAAGCTGACATTGTTGATATCCTTCGATATCCTTCGATATCCTTCGATATCCTTCGATATCCTTCTANGCGAAACAGGAACCAAAGATGTCTGAGAGCGACGTAAAAATAAACATCAACAGATTTGCATATGAAGCTGACATTGTTGATATCCTTCGATATCCTTCGATATCCTTCGATATCCTTCGATATCCTTCTAGTATCGATTATATTATAGCGCCGTCGTTGTCACTGATTTAGAAGCCCTGTCCAACAGGAATCACAACACAAATTCACTTTTCTTTCGCCCGTTTATATGACTTCCGTCTTCTGACCCGACTGATAAGATGAACACAAACACGCTAAAAAATATAGATAATCCACATTTAAATAACGTCTATTATCATCCAAGCATATTCTTACAAGTAACTATGTACTGATCTGAAGTTTCCAAATCTAGAAACTTAGAAAAAGCTGTTTCAAAGTCTCTTACCTGCAGTGTTATTCATGTTTACATGAAGTCTGTTCTTTGGCCGAAAACAAAATCGAAACTGACACGATACGCTGGTATACTGACAGCTATCGAAACTGAAATACTGTAGGAGACTATTTTTAGCTATGACCTTCCCTCTTTCTTGGTAGAATTTTCCATCGAAATGTGTTTGAAAGCCAAAATTACTTTTTCAGTGAAAGTGCTGAACACAGCAACGTGGAAATCACATGACTCAAGAGACGACTATCTAGAACATTCGTTGCACGTCTCTTGCATGACTACTGGAATGAATAATTTATATCAATCATCAATTCTTGGAACCACAGCCAACTGCGTGACACAAATCCTTGAGCGATGTTCGTCTGAATCGTGCGCGTGACCCCAGGAAATGTTATAGCCATCTCCTAGCACTTAGACTGCTTGCAAGCTGTTTTCACCCTCAAAAATCAGGAAGGCAGAAGGAGCGAGGGACAAATGATGTTGTCCAAAGTGGGCCCCACTGCTCCCAGTTTCCCATCGCGTTCGAAGGAATAGACACTCGTCGGACCTTTGCCAGAACCCTAAGAGAAATAAACAATCTATGTGGCACTAAGGAACGTGCTATTGGATTTTTTAAGGGGAAGAGGAATTGTTCAATTGATTGGTTCTTGCGAATTACAAAAATATATATTTTTTTCGAATTTGGATGGTGGTAAGATGCCAGAATTAAAGTCGTAAAGAATGTCAAGCAAAACAAAACCGACCCCCTCCCTTATCTCAAGTTCTGGATCCGCCACTGTAAACCCTACCCAAATTCGAAAATTTTAATCCGACCGACTTGATATCGCAGGATGTCAGGACAGTGTACCCGGTTGTGATTGGATAATTCTCTAGATTTCTAGTTTGGGTACGGTAATGTTGTAAATACATGCTAAGATAATACTGGATTACTGATACGTCCTTTTGAATTTCAAGGAGTTAGTTTGCTCAGGACGTTTGGAATTGGTTGGCAGTAGATTAAATTAATTTTTAATAAATACGCTCTGATTATATGCATTGTAAATTTGTTTTTAGTCTAACAGTAAATGGCGCCTTAAAAAAGCCGGTAAAGGGTTAAAGCTAAGCAATCCATGCTTATCTTCTTTTGTTTATTGATTTATACCAATAACATGCACATTGCCTCTTTTCTTCAGTGATCTTCAATTCTCTTTGCAGATTTTCTTGTTCCTTTCGTCTTCTGATTTCTTTGCTTACTTTATTCATTTGTCCTTCTGAACCCGGGCTTTGGATGAGTCACCAGCTTCGTGTAAACGGTAGAACAAATCGCTGGAAATCACGTGTTCAACACCCTTGTAACTTCTCAAATGATATCTTTTTCTAGGGGCAATAAATGAAGCAAAACTTTGATTGTTTCTTGCAACGACTCATTCATGTGGCGTGACGAAAACTGAATCAAACTGGAAAAAAATCACTGCAGAATGTCCCTTCCCATTAAGATACTCTTCTACTCTTTCGACCAGTAACTTTCGTGTACCCTGTAGGGTTTGTGCGTTTTGCATAAAAACATACATTTCTACTGCTTCTTTGGTCTTCTTTGTTTGGTTTTGTTTTGTTCCGTTTTGTTTTTCCTTGTTTTGTTTTGTTTGTGTGATTGTTTGTTTGTTTTTTTTTGTCATTCCTACATGTGATCGTTAACAGTTTTTCACTATCCAATATTCTTTTTTGTTGCTCGAGAACGCTTGCTTGTCTATTGCTCGGTGGCTTTCGTTTACCTCACTTCTTCCTGCATGTAATTTGTCACGTATTGTCGTCTTGATTATTTTCGCTAATAGACTAATTTCTCTCTGATGATTAAGCAAGCTGTTAAATTAAAGAGCACAGACAATACGCTGCAGAATTCAAATTAGGTCTGTTGTTTTAGCAGTTTCGAATTTGAAACGAGGTTTTTGTGGCAAATAAAGAAGGAATTAATCTTCTCCAACGTGAACGAGGATTTGACTAAGGTGAAATGGCGAATTAAGAGTATGAACATTAATTTCTCCCTAGCGAAAGAGAATTCAGTCGTAGTTAGTAAGTTGCCACAAGAGCCACGATCAGTGGCAAATAAAAGAGAAGTTCGTGAAACGAGAAGTTCGTGCAACGAGAAGCTCGTGAAACGAGAAGTTTGTGAAACGAGAATTTTGTGAAACGAGAAATTAGTGTCTCATTTGTGTTCGTCTTTTGCACACTTGCAACTATTTTCTAAATCACAGTTCCTCAACTCTCAGCTCTTCTCCAGCCTTCTCCGGCAGCAGCTCAAGGCTTAGCCCAGTCTCCTGCCGGCTCTCTCGGTCTTCCAGTGCCGTCTCCGGCGACTAGTCACCAGTTTGTCACTCCGTCTCCTGCATTAGGCGGGTCCTCTCCAGCTCTCTCTCACAACATGCCTGTTACGTCACCAGGGTCGTGGCCCATGTCTCCGCAGTTCGCCGGTAGTGGCCAGGCTGCAAAGTACAGGTGCGTTTGAGAAAACATGAGAAATCTCCATGGCGTTAATTTAACTTTTGGTAAAATATTTAGTTCCTGTGCCAAAGAACTAAAAGAATTACCTATAAGAACAAAGATTTTTATTATAAAAATTATTTAATGGGCTTTTACACAATGTATACAAGCGTTCTGTCACGAATGCCGTTCTCTTAGTGGCTACGCTACTCACTATCTACACCTTTTGCTGTTCATTTACAGAAAATAAACATTCATTTGTGTCCAAGTTTCTTTCATTATGGTCATTAAACTCTCATTAACACCAATATGACCTTCATTTGCGCGTAAGGAAGGTTCAAGAAAAACATTGGCATATGCATTAACATTCAAAATCATCAAAAGAAAAACAATACCTTCATTTGACATTCATTGACGGTAAATGTACTTTCATTTTGGTCGAAAAAAAATTCGTTGTCACGAAACGACAATCATTTACACTTTACGACATTCAGTTTTCAACAAAAGACTTTCAATAACACA